TGTTGCAGGAGAGGAGTGGGAGTGAGGGAGCCTCAGAGGGATAGACTTCCAGATAGAGGTGAGGATAGAGACAGGGAGATGGAGAGAGAGAGAAAGAGAGCGAGAGAGAGAGAGAGAGAGAGCGAGAGAGAGAGGAGGGGTGGAGGGTGAATTGGGGAGAGGAGAGAGCAAGGAGGAGCGGAGATCGATAAAGGGAACGTGGAAGAGAGGAAGAGGGAGTGTCAGCATCGAACATGAGGAGAGGGTGGAGGACGAGGTGAAGGGGAGGAGAGGTGAAGGGGAGGTAGTGAGTGAGTGAATGTGGAAAGCAATTGGAATCGGGTGAAAGAGAGAAACGGGAATTGGTCTGGAGGGGAGAGAGAGACGAACAGAGACGCAGTTAGAGTTTTGAGGAGACAGAGTGATAGAGATGGGGAGGTTGTTTGAGGGAGATTTGGGGGAGCAAAGAAATGGAGAGAGAAACACTGTGAGAGACAAGGGAATAGAGAGAAGGAGATGGAAGGGATGGGGAAGGAGAGACGGGAACAGGGAGAAAGCGAGGGGGCAGGGGGGAGGGGGAGAGAGGGGGAAAGGGGGAGAGATAAAACAGGGAGAAGAGGAAAACGGGGGAGGAGCGGTAATTGGGACATGGGGGGGAGGCAGAGAGAGAGAGGAGGAGATGAGGAGAGAGGTGAATTTGGAGAGAAGGTAAGCCAGGGGAAGAGGAACATGGAGTGGGTGAGGTAGGGAGACGAAGAGAGAGAGAAGGCGGGGGGAGATGGACAGATGGAGAGTCGGGGAGGGAGGAGATGAAGAGAAGTGGGGGGGCTTGGCGGAGATGGAGAGAAGGGGAGGGGAGAGACGGAGAGAAGGGAGGGGGGAAGCTCAGAGAAGGGGCAGGGAGGGTGATGGAGAGAAGGCGACGGGGAGAGATGGAGAGAAGGGGAAAGGGGGAATGGGGAGAGAGAGAGGGCGATGGAGAGAGAGGGGCGGACAGAGAGAAGGGAGACAGAGAAAGAGATGGTGGCAACCAGATGGAGAGACAGCATGGGGTGAGGGTGATAGAGTGATAGATATGGGTGGACAGAGAGAGCGATAGAGACAGGGAGACAGAGAGGGAAGCAGATGGATGGAGGTGGGTGGGTGGGTGATTGGGAACAGTGTGAAATTCCGAGGATTGTGACTGGAATGTCCACTTTTGTCCTCAGCCGGAGTATTGGTCAGGAACATCCAGTGGACTGTGGTCATCCTGGGGGCTGCCATAGGAATGCTGGGATTTCTGAGCGTCGGAGCAGCTGTCTTCCTGATTGGCTGTCCTCTCCTGGCCAACCGGCTCCCGGGAAAGGGAGCGAGAGAGCCCCAGTAATGGGAGAGGGGGTGGGGGAGACGGGGAACGAAATTGGGAGGGAAACAGAGAGAGAGGGAGAGGGAGATGGGGCGGGGGACAGAGATAGAGAGAGAGGGGGAGGGATGGCTACTGAGGGGAGAGGGGCTGGAGAGAGAAAGGGAATGGAGAGAGTGTGAGTGAAAGAGAGAAACACTGATGGGGGGGGTAGAGGGAGAGAAAATGAGGAGAAAAGGGAGAGAGAGAAAGTGAGGGGAAAGAGAAAATGAGGAGGAGAGAGAGAGGGAGAAAATGAGGAGAAAAGAGAGAGAGAGAAGGTGAGGAGGAGGAGAGAGAAAGAGAGACAGAGAAGGGGGGAACATGAGGAAATAGAATGCTGCAGCACAAGGAAGGAGAGATGGTGAGGAGAGAGGGAGCGTGACAGGAGAGAGAACAAGCAAGGAGCGGAAGAGCGAGTGAGACGGGGGAGAGGTTGTGAGGTGATGGAGGGAGTGAAGTGCAGCGAGCGAAAGAACGAAGTATGGGGGGAGAGGGGGAATAAAGAGAGAGAGAGATGGAGTAGGGGGTGAATGACAGAAATAAAATGTGGATCTCAGTCCTGCGTCTGACAGGAAAAGCAGAGAAATAAATGAACATTGAAAGCCAAAAGTGTCCCTAAGTGACTCAATCCCAAAGGAAAAGGAAATTGGGGAGTTGGGTAAGAGTTAGAGGGGAGGGGAATATCCCAGCGGAGATTATTAAAGTTTGCAGAACAAGGAGTGGGGCCGAGAGAATGGAAAAGGGTCAGGAATCGAACGTCAGGCACAGCAGGTCAGGGGACAGCTATGGGAAAGGGGAGCAGTCAGTACGAGATTGAGGGAGATGTAATTAAATACACACAGGATACGAAACAAGGTAAAGGAGCTTGTGGCGCTGGGTACGACGTCGTGGGAATCACAGAGACAAGGCTGCAAGGGGATCAGGGCTGGGAACTAAATATCCCACTGTCCCATCGAAACGACAGGCAGAGGTGGGGTGGGAGCTGCCTTCTGAATAAGAAATGAAATTAAATCGACAGCTCAGGGCGATACGGGGTCGGAAAGTGTACAATCTGTGAGGGGGTAGAGACGAAGAACCGCAAAGGAAGAGAGACCCTGATGGGAGCTGTGTACAGGCCTCTGAGCAGGAGTCAGGACCAGGTTGTCCGTGGGGGGAGCAGAAAATGAATGAGGAGATTGAGAAGGGACGAAAGAAAGGTACTGTTACAGTAATCGGGGTGGGTGTCTTCAATAAGCAGGGGGGCTGGGAAATTCAGGTTATCACAGGTGCCAAGAAATAGAACTCGTGGAATGCGTAAGAGATGAGCTGGTGGTGCAGGCCAGTAGGGAGCAGGCAGATCTGGAGTTGGTGACGTGCGAATGAGGCAGAGTTGATCAGGGGGCTGAACGTGGAGGAACTCCTTGGAGGGGGGGCAGGGACAGTAGCACGATAGAATTTACCCTGCAGTTTGAGAGGGAGAAGCTGCGCTCAGATGTAGCAGCATTACACTTGAGTGAAGGGAACTCCAAAGACGTGAGGGAGGAACCGGCCTGAGTTGACTCAGAAGGGGAGCCTAGCCGGGAAAATGGTGGAGCAGCAAGGGCAGGAGTTTCTGGGTTAATTCAGGGGGACGCAGCAGGAATTCATCCCAAGGAAGAAGAAACAGACGAAGGGGAGGACGAGACAACAGTGGCTGACAAGGGAGATCAGGGGCAGCACAAAAGGAAAAGGGAAAGCACACAGTGAGGTGAAGATTAGTGGGCATTCAGAGGATTGGGAAGCCTTTAAAAACCAGGAGAGGACAAGTAAAAATGCATTTGGGGTCGGGTGGGTGTGGGGAGAAGGTGAAATGTGAGGGGAATCTAGCTAGTGATATCAAAGAAGATTGCAAGACTTTTTTCTTGGAAATCTAGAAAGGTAAGAGAGCAAAGAAATGGGGGAGCGAAGAATGGGCTGTGGAAATGAATAGATACTTTTCCAGGGCCTTCACGTTGGGAGACATCAGCACACAGCAGAACATCAGGAGGGTCAGAGGTGAGTGTAGTGTGGCCACCGCTAGGGGGAAGGTGCTGGAGAAGAGAAAGGTCTGAAGGTGGGATAACTCCCCCCCCCAGGACCATGCAGACTCCAGCCCAGAGTTCTGAGGGAGATTGAGGAGGCATTGATGGTGATCTTCCAGGAATCACTAGAGTCAGGGAGGGTCCCAGAGGATTGGAAAACGGCGAATGTACCACCCCTGCTGCCTAAAAAGGGAGAGTGGGGCAGAAGACAGGAAAGTATGGCACGGTTAGCCAGATCCCAACCATTGGTGAGATGTTAGAGTCCGTTATGAAGGAAGAGATTGTGGAATATTTGGAATTGGATGGTAAAATAGTGCCGCGTCCTGGGGAGGTGAAATCTGTGAGAAATCTTTGAGGAGATGACAAGCGAGTTGGACTAAAGGAGGTGCCAATGGCTGTGATCTGTTTGGATTTGCAGAGGGTCTTCCACAAGGTGCAGGACAGGAGGCTGGTGGGTGAGATAAGACAGAGGGACAGGTAGTATTGAGGAAGCAGGGGTAGGTGCAGAAGGACTTGGACAGGCCAGGAGAATGGGCAAAGAAATGGAGGAAGGAGTACAGTGTGGGAAGTGTGGCATTTGGTAGGAAGAATAGAGGTGTAGACTATTTTGTAAACAGGGTAAGGCTTCGGAAATCTGAAGCACAAAGGGACTTGGGAGTCCGAATTCAGGATTCTCTCAAGGTGAACATGCAGGTTCACTTAGCAGTCAGGAAGGCAAATGCAACGTTAGCATTCATTTCACATGGGCTAGAATACAAGAACAGAGATGAACAGCTGAGGCTGTATAAGGCTCTGGTCAGACCGCATTTGGAATATTGAGGGCAGTTGTGGGCCCTGTATCTAAGGAAGGATGTGCTGGTGTTAGAGGGGATCCAGAGGAGGTTTACAACAGTGATCCCAGGGATGAAGGGCTTGTCGTACGAGGTACGGTTGAGGACTCTGGGTCTGTACTCGATGGAGTTTAAACGGATGAAGGGGGTGGATCTGATTGAAACTCTCAGAATACTGAGAGGTCTGGATAGAGTGGACATGGAGAAGGTGCTCCCACTAGTAGGAGAGACTGGGACCTGAGGGCACAGCCTCAGAGTGAAGGGATAATGGTGAGAGGAGGAGGAATTTATCCAGCCAGAAGATGGTGAATCTGTGGAACTCATTGCCACAGAACGATGTGGAGGCCAAATCATTGAGTTTATTTAAGACAGAGGTAGATAGGTTCTTGATTGGTAAGGGGGACCAAGGGTTACAGGGAAAAGGCAGGAGAATGGGGATGAGAAACACATGATCGAATGGGCTCAATGGGCCGAATGACCTCATTCTTCCCCAGCGGCCTTCTGGACACAGTGTGGGATAACAAAGGGTGCAGGCACTGAGGGAGGAGACGATGAAAAGGTGAAGGGAGAGGAGGTGATTTTTCAGAGTGCCGTGTTTGGAGCTGATGTTTGGGCGGGGATCGGGCAGGGCTGGTGAACTGCAGAAGGCGTCACCCGCGTACGCTCTCGAGCTGACCTTCTCAGCTGGCCCTCCCTCCCTGCCCTGGGGCGGGCCCCGTGCTCCTGGATTGCGGACTGACCTGTTCTTACCACACTGGCAGTCCCAACAAAAGCACACTCCCTGCCCGAGCCGCCTCCGCGAGGTTTGCCAGACTCGTCCCAGGGCCACCGCTGCTCCCGGGAGCGGGCACCGTCGCCAGGCGAGAGACAGAGCGGCCCTCCAGACACCGGCTCGAGCCGCCCACCCCCGGGTGGGTCGGGAGGAGGGGGACCGAGGCCTACAGAAGCACGATGGCCCTCGTGAACCATCCTTCATTCTCTGCCAGTCACTTCATGTGCCAACTCCCCGTTGCCCACACCTTGGTCTACCGCAGCTGGATAATAGCAGGTCAGTTGTAGAGTCGTAGCCTCTTAGAGATACGCGGTACGGAGACAGACTCTTCGGCCCATCCAGTCCTTCAATCCCAAACTAAACCAGCCCCCACACCCACCTGCTCCTGGCCCCATATCCTTCCAAACCCTTTCCCTACTCACGTACTTATCCGAATGTCTTTTAAACGTTATAACTGTACCCATATCCCCCATTCCCTCAGGCAGTTCATTCCACACACCAACCGCCCTCTGTGTTAAAAACAAATTTGCCCCTCACACCTTTTTAAATCCATCTCCTCTCACCTTAAAAGTACGCTCCCCCCCACCCCGCCTTCGTTTTCAACTGCCGCTGTCCCAGGGGAAAGACCCCTGCTATTCACGTTATCGATGCCCCTCTCGTGATTTTACAAACCCCTATAAGGTCACCCCCTCAGCCTCCGACGCTCCAGGGAGAGAAAGTCCCCGGCCTCTCTCTCTAAGTCAAACCCTCCCCTCCCATCCTGGTGAGTCTCTTCCGAAACCTCTCCGGTCATCCATGCCGACCCAATATCCTAAATCCATCTAGTCCCATTTGCCAGCATTTGGTTCATATCCCTCTAAATCCTTCCTATTCATGTCCCCATCCAGATGCCTTTTAAATGTTATAATTGTACCAGCCTCCACCACTTCCTCTGGCAGCTCGTTCCATACACGCACCACCCTCTGCGTTAAAATTACCCCTCAGGTCCCTTTTAAATCTTTCCCCTCTCACCTTAAACCTATGCCCCTCTAGTTTTGGACTCCCCTCCCCCTGGGGGAGAAAGACCTTGTCTATTTACCCTATCCATGCCCCTCGTGGTTTTATAAACCTCTGTAAGGTCACCCCCTCAGCCTCCGACGCTCCAGGGAAAATAGCCCCAGCCTCTCCCTGTAGCTCAAACCCTCCAGCCCCGATATGATAGAGGTGAATTTTTGCTGGGGGATGGAATAAATGTGAAAGGACAGTGTGATCGTGGGTGAAAGGGACTTTAAGAGAGCTGCTGGGATAATCAAAGGAACGCTGTATGAGGCCCCTCGATAGTTAAAGGGGACGGGCAGTGAGATCTGGTTATCATTCCCGGAATGGGGAGCAGGATCCTGGGATTGTTAAAGGGACAGCATCTGGGATCGTGGAATAGTTAAATGGACAGGAGGCAAGACCCCGAGAGAGTTACAGGGAAAGACGGACAGATCCTGGGAAAGGTGGATAGGTGGGGACTGAGATTTCAGAAAACATAATGGGAGAAGGAGTGGGATCCCAGGATAGTTAGAGGGACACAGAGTGGGATCCCGGGATAGTTAGAGGGACATGGAGTGGGATCCCAGGATAGTTAGAGGGACAGAGAGTGGGATCCCGGGACAGTTAGAGGGACAGAGAGTGGGATTCCAGGATAGTTAGAGGGACAGAGAGTGGGATTCCAGGATAGTTAGAGGGACAGAGAGTGGGATCCCGGGACAGTTAGAGGGACAGAGAGTGGGATCCCGGGACAGTTAGAGGGGCAGGGAGTGGGATTCCAGGATAGTTAGAGGGGCTGGGAGTGGATTTCCAGGACAGTTAGAGGGGGAAGATTCCAGGATATTTAAAGGGACAGAGAGCACAATCCCAGGATACTTAAGGGGTGCAGGAGTGGGATCCCGGGATGGTAAAAGTTACAGGGAGTGAGAACCCGGAGAGGGACAGGAGTTTGAAGCCTGACAAGGAAGGAGATCCCAGGAGAGCTAAAGGCACAAGGAGTGGGATCCCAGAAACTCTAAAGGGAGAGACAGGAGATCCCAGAAATTTAAAGGGACAGGGAGTGAGATCCCTGGATAGCGAAATAGACAGAGTGTGATATCCTGAGATAGCGAAACGGACAGAGCATGATATCCCGGGATAGGGGAAACGGACAGAGCGTGATATCCCGGGATAGCGAAATGGACAGAGCGTGATATCCTGAGATAGCAAAAT